CAAATGGCATATACCACTCTCGCCTCCCCGAAGCCCTCCTCCTCCCCAGCAGGCAGGGATAAAAGTTCTCTCTCTGAAGGATGCCACCTGTGCTAGACCTGGCATGTGCGGGACACAGAAAGAAGCCAAGACATCCCATTCCCCCCTCCCGCTCACAGGCTAAGTTGAACCTTAAAGCTATAAGGGCAAGGAAATACAGTCTTGAGTCGGGAGCAGGCAGTGTTTGGATTTGTGTCAAAATTGACTATCTTCATCGAAGATATTGACACGGGCAGGCTGGCACATTTTGAAAGATTATGAATGTTTTGTTATTTGTATCAGAGAGAGAATCCAAATAACAGTCTTGATTTGCAGCAGCTTGCCGGGTTTGTTTCTGAGCTCGTGATGGCATTCAAGTCTCATTTTGTTGACTTTTGCAAACACAGTGCTGTTTAAGTTTATGATTTGGGGTCTGTTGAAGAACTGGATTTGACAGTCATTACAAGCATCTCAATCAGCAATTTGGAAATATCAGATTTCTCGGAGTCTGATATTGGGGTGGAAAAATTTATCAAGCTGAATTCTGATTTAGAATGCCTTGCTCAACAATGTGCAGAATTGGCAAAACTGCACAAATGGACAGACATGAACAAATTGGAACACGATGATAATCTGATTCTGCAAACTTGGAAAGAACTTCCTGTCATATATAACACCATGCAGAATGTCAGCTTGGCCTTACTTGCAATGTTTGGCTCCACCTATATTGGTGAATAGGCTTTCTCTCATTTGAATCACAAGAAAGGTAATTTGTGCTCAAGACTGACAAGACAGTCTGAAAGCGTGCATGAAGCTGAATTTGACCAGTTATGATGGAAGCTTTGACGAAATGTGTGAAAAGATGCAGCAGCAGAAGTCCCATTAAATAAAGTTCTTGTGTGAAAAGATGCAGCAGCAGAAGTCCCATTAAATAAACTCCTTGTGTACAATGTTTCATTTATGATACTAATCATGATGTCAATTATTAGTAATATTAAGTTGTATCTTTTCATTCATGAAAATGGGCTTTTTTATGCTGGCTCTTTGTTGACCACTTGTTCTGAATTTTGAAGTAGTTTGGCTCTTTGATTTGAAAAGGTTGCCGACTGCTGATTTAGCATCAGGTATTAACCATTGGCTGCAAGAACTATTGATGAAGACAAACTCTCAAATTAGTCTCTTTGGAAATCAGTGGGAAAAAAAGATTATTTCATATTCGACTCATAGGTAGAGCTGGCTGGAAAATGTGTTTTTTGTTTCTTTGTTTTTCCTCATGGAAATTTTTGACTTTTTGTTGAAATAAATTGCAAATGTTTCAGTTTTCAGTGGTAAACGTTTTGGATGCTTGGAATTCTTTTGTTGTGAAAACAGGCTTGTGAGTCTTGCCCACATGCTCAGGATTCAGCTGATCACCATATTTGGGGTTGGGAAGGAATTTTCCTCCAGGGTAGATCGGCAGAGGCCTTGGAGGTTTTTCACCTTCCTCTGTAGCATGGGGCACGAGTCACTAGCGAGGGGTCTTTGAACCATCATTTCAAGGACTTCAATATCTGAGATATAGGTGAGAGGATTATTCTATCAGTGGTGGGTGAGATTCTATGGCCTGCATTGTGCAGGGGGTCAGACTAGATGATCAAAATAGTCCCTTCTGACCTTAAAGTCTATGAGTCTGAGTTACTGTCTATATTTTCATTTTGTTTAAAACCCAGTTTTCCACTGAATCAAAGTTTTGACGGAAAAGACCAGCCCAAATCATAGATAACAGCAGTTGATCCAAATCCCTTAGGTGTCTGAGGATCTCGGGCATAACTGGTACTGAAAAGCTGTAGCCTTTCTATAGGGAAATTAAATCATGTCTGTGACATGATAGGGATTGCTCAAGGTGTAATGCTCAGAGTCCCAATCCTGAAGCATTCTACTTGGACACAGCTCCCCATAGCATTAATGGAGTCTTTGCCCAAATATGGAGTACTGAATCAGGCTTCTAATTATATTTTTGTTTTACTGTCTCCCTTGGCAGAGAATGACATGTGTTTCATGGTCCCTGGTACTGAAGACTTCATAGTCCATCTTCATGAAACAGCTGTGTTTAGGAAAGTTAGTCAAGACTAATTTTTTCTAAAGAAATTCGATCTATGGTAAAGGTAGGGGCAAGATGCCAAGTTTGGATCCACTTCCAAACTTCACCAAAACTCGTAATGTTCAGTTGTAGGGTGTTAGTTCAGTTCCATCTCTACTGAGAAAATACTTCAGTTGTAACTGCAGTTGTAACTGTAACTTAGGGCTAATGGAAACATGATTTCCCCTACCTCCTTGCTATCTTAGGGTATGTCTAGACTACATGCCTCTGTCGCCAGAGGCATGTGAAATAGGCTACCCGACTTAGTCAATGAAGCTGGGATTTAAATATCCCTGACTTCATTAAAAAAAATGGCCGCCACGCTGTGCCGGCTCAGCTGATCATCGGCACAGCGTGGCAGTCAAGACGCGGATCGGTTGATAGCGAACGCCTTTGTTGACTACTCCCTTATGCCTTGTAATTTACATGCCTCTGGTGACAGAGGCATGTAGTCTAGACATACCCTCAGTGTCACAAGACACAACTCACTGCCATGGCGCCTCCTGCCGGTCGCACTGGGAGTTAGCTTTTATCAGCCCATAGCACACCTCCTTCTGGATGGTCTCTCCTAGTGTCCTCACTCCATGCTCCCCATTCCAGCGCCGCATAATTCCAGACCATTGTGTCCTCTTTAGGACAATGTCCTCTGGCAGTGGCCACTACAATTGTTTTTTGTTATCCTTCTGGGGGGGGAGGTTATCAGCAGTCCTGTGTCTCTGCACTCTGGGCTCCTCCCCTCCCAGGGAACCCCCAATTCCCTTGTCCCCACCTTGCCTCAGTGACACACTTCCAGTCTTCATCTAGCACCTGCCCCATGGGCAAACTGCAGTCTGAAATAGCCACTCATTATTAGCAAGGGGGTGTGGACCTGTGGCCTCTTTCTAGCCTGGCTGGCTCCCTGTAGCCCCAGTATCCTCAGACCTTGCCTCAGGCCCTGCAGCCTGGAAATGAAGTCAGGCCAGAGCTCCTAAGCCTTGCCTGACTTTACCCAGCCCTTCTTTGTCTCAGGAAGCCTCCAGCTTCCCTGATAGCCAGGTCCCTCCTGCTCCACAGCTAGAGCAAGAGTGTCTCTCCTTTCACCTCCCTCCCAGAGCCCTTATTTATACAGCTCCCAGCTGGGCCCTAATTGGCAGTATCTACCTCAGCTATGGGCTTTGCTCTCAGTCCTCTCCCCAGATTGGGTTTTACCCTTAAAGGGCTAATGCAGGGCAGATACCTTATCACACATAGCTTTGTAAAGACATTTTGGAACACCTGCAATGGGATGATTTATTTTTAATTTACATAAATTGTTTTAATTTAGTAATACTCAAAATAACTGCTCCTCAAAGAATTTATGAAAAAGCATTTCTGTTTCTCAAAATCCTCTGTCCCCCCCATTGATGATTATGACTAATAGTCACATGGATAATGGCACCGCAGTATTTTGTTCCATGTGGTAAATGTACTAATTATAGATTCTTCACAGAAATAATCATATCCTGATTTTGCAAATCTTGATGGAAGAAGAGAAAGATACAGGAGAAATAGTCATTGGGAACAATAGGGAAACAACATGGTATAGTTGTAGTGGAGAGGAGAGTGGGCTGGGCAGATCATTTCATCTGTGCCCTTTTCCCTTAGGCCTTTTTTCCTGTTTTGTTTCTATTTCGGTTTATGCGGAGCTCAACATGCAGCCCGTGGGTGAGATCCTTTTGAACATGACCATCACTGGGAACACGCTCCACAATGAATCAATATAATGGTCTGTAGTCTAGACATACCCTCAGTGTCACAAGACACAACTCACTGCCATGGCGCCTCCTGCCGGTCGCACTGGGAATTAGCTTTTATCAGCCCATAGGACACCTCCCTCTGGATGGTGTTTCCTAGTGTCCTCACTCCATGTGTTGTGTAGTCTTGCCTTAATCTTTGTATTCATGCCTGTCAGCATGAAAGAAGCTATTTGCATATATTTGCATGTATGTGCAACCACACTTAAGTAGCGGCCCTCTGCATGGGATGAAAGTATCATTGTGGCCCCCAGGACTTCCAAAGTTGAGTAGCCCTGTTTTAAGATTTTCACAGGGCTGTATCTTACTATGTATACAGACAGTGCCAAGCACAGTGGGATCTCACTCTTACTTGGGGACTTTTAACACTACTGTAATACAAACAAAATTGTGACATTATCTTTGGAAGAGAAAAGAACCCCACACCTAATATACCAACCCTGGAGTGTGCTAAAGAGAATAGGGCTCACACTGTGCCTTATGCAGAAGAGCTGTGGGTCTGTGATCAGTGAGTTCTTATCTGTTAATTTAAAAAAATAGCGGAAAACTCATTTAAGAATAATGGTGAAATTTTCCCAACTTGGGTACCAAAAGCTAGGTGCCTGGATTAGTGTCCTGATTTTCAGAGGGGTCCAACACCTGCAGCTGCCATTGACATTAATACCTTCCATTTTGATTTCCATGGATCTATGGATACTCATCCAGCTACTTTTATGTGGGCACCTGATTAACAAACTCAAATTAGAAAATATCACCCGCACTGAAGCATGAAACATCTTTCTAACTTATTGCATGTAACTGGTCCATTCTTGTGAAAGCCAAGTTTATAATGAACTCTGCAAGTTTATGATTTCTTCCTAGCCACCGTGTAGCTCCTTAGATCTGATGTTGTTCCCAAGAGCAATCTGTGCAGAAACAGACATGACGGGTCGTAGCAACCATGTGAAAAATAAATTACTTTTCCATATGACAACCTGTGTGATCCACATGGAACCAATTGCATGCTGAATGCTGGAGATATTTGGCCTCTGAAGACTTTCCTGGTATTTCCCAATTCATAAGCTGTGGGGCTTGTAGTCACAAGCATAAGAAAATTCATGATATGCCACAGCACATGGGAACATATTCAGAAATAAACATGTTTTTGTCCAGGCTACTAACGTTTTTCTGCAGATTCCAAAATCACTATACAGCTCTAGACTGAAAAAGGGGTTCTGATCATTTATGTTACCCAGGTGTTTTAAAATTCAACCATTTCCATTACCTGTAAACTTAATAGCATTAGCCACCTGCTGGCTTGGAGGAGCAAACTCTTGCCAAAAAGGAAAGCAGGAGCAGTGAGATACACTCCTAATGTGCTCTGTTCCTTGCTGTCAGAATTAAGGCTCTGAAGCTGTATCCTGGAATAGCAGCATTACCTCATGCAGAGCAAGTTCCTGTCTCCATGCGTCAAACTCTTGAGTAGAGGACTTACATCAATTGATGCCTGCCAAAAGAAAGAAAAAGTAGAGTAGAGTAAGATTAGGAAGGAACTTTGAAGCCATTATTGAAACTCAAGAAGATTTCCATTCATTAGCTATTAATCTAGGAAATGCTGCAATGAAATATAAAAATATAGGGCCAATTTCTCTGCTAGTATAAATACGCCTTGCTCTATTGCAGGCAATGGAGCCAGATATACCAGCTTGAAGATTTGACTGAGGTTATTAAGAAAAACACAAAGACTCTGGTTTTTACAAAAAACTAGCACAGCAGTGGTGAACTTTGAAAGGGCAGATTTTAAAAGCTGTGAAGAAATTGGTAAAGAGCAGGCAGAAGGATAAGGTACAAAGCTGAAACCATTGAAGGAGCTTGGAAGCTATTTGAGAATATTGTATTAGAAGCAGAGGAGAATTTATACTTAGAAACTTTAAAAAAGTAATAAGGGAAGAGTTTAATACAGCAAACTATTTGCAAATATCCTTGTAAACGAAACCTGCCAGTTGGCTTTGACACATATGCAACCCATTAATGCACTTAGGGTACGTCTACACTGCAACACTATTTTGAAATAATTAGCGCTATTTTGAAATAACTTAGTCCATGTCTACACAGCAGGCAGTTATTTTGAAATAGTGTCAAAATACTGTCAAGCTGCAGGACTACTTCTTCCAATTCCTGTAACCCTCATTGTATGCTCAGTAGCTCAGTTTGCGTAGCTTATTTCGAGTTAAGCCCTGCAGTGTGGATGCAGCCTTAATAATGAACATTAGAAGGCATGTTTATTTATGAGACCTTCAGGGAAAGAAAGTGATAGTTCAGATACAGGTGCATGCCTCCAGATTTCCATTATTGCTGAGGAGGAGCTGCTGATGAAGAAATCAGGGATCCAAGGAAGATGTGCCAGGGGGTGGAGATTTTTATTTCGAGTTAAGCCCTGCAGTGTGGATGCAGCCTTAATAATGAACATTAGAAGGCATGTTTATTTATGAGACCTTCAGGGAAAGAAAGTGATAGTTCAGATACAGGTGCATGCCTCCAGATTTCCATTATTGCTGAGGAGGAGCTGCTGATGAAGAAATCAGGGATCCAAGGAAGATGTGCCAGGGGGTGGAGATTTTTTTGTTACTTGTCCCCTTGTGGTGGGGGGGCGGGAGGGGAAGCAAGAGAGAGAACGCATTGCTTAATGTCTTAATGTCTGGTAGTGGAGAAGAGAAAAGGAAAAAGTACAGTTGGTAGGGTTGTGATTTTTCCTAGGCATTCTTGTGATTTTTTTAGGAGGAATTACTGTATCACTATGCTTTGAAGGCTTTATTCACTAAATGAAAGGACTAGAAACCTTTCTTAGTTAAAGTTTTGATTAATTGGCATGACACTTGTAACATTTGCTAAACCTCTTGTATTACTTATGGAGTTGTATTACTTATGGAGACCATCTTGCAGCGTAAGGCGTTAATATTCCAAAATAGTTTTGTGTGTTTACTCGTGTGTATTGTAATTCTTACACTGGTGAGGCCTCAGCTAGAGTACTGTGTTCAACTTGGGCATGATGATTTAAGAAAGATGTGAACAGATTGGGGAGAGTCCACAAGAGAGGAATAAAAAAAAAGATAAGCGATTTAGCAAATCTGACCTGTAGAAAGTTGAAAGAATTAGGCCTGGTTAATTTAAAGAAGAGAAGGTTGAGGGGGGGGACAGGACCTGATAACAGTCTTCAGACAGGTGAAAGGTTCTTATGAAGAGAGTGGTTATCAATTGTTCTCCATTTCTATCAAGAGTAGGACAAGGCGTAATCCACTTAGTTTGAAGCAAACAAGTTTTAGATTATCTATTAGGAAGAGCTTTTGAACTATTGTAGCCCAGTTTTTTTAGTGGTTTTGGGTGGTTACTGACTTCCAATTAATACTAAATTAAAGAGTAAGGAGGATTGTAGGGTTCTAGTCCCAGAATCAGGCACAACAGAATGAAGTTATCGATTTCAGTATCTGGCTGGGAACCGTGTTGTGCACAATGATGAGACACTGTGGCTAAAGCAAGGCTTTCACCACTTTTCTTAACACAATAAAGACTGGCCCCTTTTCCGAAAGGGGCATGGTAATTTCACAGGTCGTAATAGGGCAATCCGCGGGGGATTTAAATATCCCCCGCGGCATTTAAATAAAAATGTCCGCCGCTTTTTTCCGGCTTTTAGAAAAGTAGGAATAAGATCCTCCGGAAAAGGGCTTTTTTTCCGGAGGATCGGGGCCAGTGTAGACGCTCTTTTCCGGCTTTTCTAAAAGCTGGAAAAAAGCGGCGGACATTTTTATTTAAATGCCGCGGGGGATATTTAAATCCCCCGCGGATTGCCCTATTACGACCTGTGAAATTACCATGCCCCTTTCGGAAAAGGGGCCAGTGTAGACGTAGCCAAAAGCTGCAGATTACATAAAAAGATAACATTTACTTTGTACTATTGTTATCTCTTGTACCATTCTTGCATATATACTGTGACAGACTCAGGGCAGCTGGCTACAATAGTTTGGTGGAGGGCTAATCTACAGGGAACTGGGTAAATAGTTTTCTGTTCCGTGAGTAAACTGTCCAGGCTCTGCTACCATGTAATCAAGGCAGGCAGGCACCTGGGGCCTATTAAGAGCTTGCCTGAAGCAGCAGGCTAATCAGGGCACCTGCAGCCCATTAAGCTCTGTTGGGGCTAGTTTAAAAGGCTTCCCTTCAGGAAAGGCAGGGGAGAGGAAAAAAGCTAAGTGTTGGGAGTAAGAAGTCTGTGGTGAGAGAGCTGAGGGCTGCAAAGAGGGAAGTGTGCTGAAGGGGAGCAGGAGAGACTTGCTGAGGTACCAGGGAGAAGGTAGTGGGTGGAGCATTTAGAGAAGTGGCCCAAGGAAAGGCTTCCAGTTGCCGCTGCCTTAGGGTCCCTGGGCCGAAACCCAGAGTAGTGGGTGGTCCTGGGTTCCCCCCCAACCTCCCCACACCACTACAGAGTCTGCGCCAGTGGAGGACCAAGATCAGCATAGCCTTGCGCCACTTCCCACAGCTCCCATTGTGCAGAAATGGTGACCCATGGCTTCTGGGAGCTAGCGGAGGCCATGCCTGTGGATGGTCAATGTAAACAAAATGTCTCATGGTCCACTAGTGGATTACCCTTGTGTGCTGCATGCTGAAGGTTGTTGACCCTTGCCATAAATATTCATTTGAATGCCCAGCCTCCCTTGTCTCTATTTAATTACTTCACCCTAATTACCTCACTCTAATAATATTGGTATGCCCTTTGATCTTAGTTATTAGCATGTTAATGATTTAACCTGTTGCTGTATATGTCAATTTGTTAAAGTAAGTTCATAGTTACACAGCTGCCTTAAAATATCCAAGCTCAGTATCAGTTCAATATCCCTATGGTTACCCTGCATTATTATCTACAAACTTCACTCATAAGTGTGCAATTCCCAGTTATCCCAAACTCAGGGTAACTTTCAGGCCATTTTTCTACGCCAAAAATTATAGGTCTCAAAGGCTTATGTTAATTTATGCCACATGCTAATTGCTTAAGCTAACATTTTATAGGCCTTTAGGTTCTATTACTCCTAAGTAAAATAAAATGCCAAAGCTAGTTCTATGGCAGAGATGCACAATAAAAAGGGGGCAGTTTGTGAGGGTTAGTCCCTGATGGGCCACTACTGTTCTATTTACCTGCACTTCTGCAGGTACTGGCAATTGCAGCTCCTGTTGGCTGCACAGTGATCCACAGCCAACAGGAGCTGAAATTGTCCATCCCTGTGGAGGCACAGGTAAATACAACACTGGTGGTCTGCCAGGGGCTAACCCTGAGAGACTGGATCTGGCCTGCAGGCTGGTATTTCACCACTCCTGTTCTAGGGGCTAAGCAGTGGAAAGGCTGCCCAGGAAGGTTGTGGAATCTTTGTCTTGGAGGTTTTTAAGAGCAAGTTAGACAAACACCTGTCAGGGATAGGGTAGGTATTATCTCAGGAGGATGGGCTAGATGGGATCTTGAATTTTCTTCCATCTTAGAGTTTTATGATTATATGCTGACTATAAATTGACAAAAAGGTAGAAAAATTGTAAACAATTAAATACCACAATTTTATATATACTCTAATTCAAACATCTTGTCCTGTTAATCTCAGATTTTTCCAAAATGTTCTCTATTAGTAGTGACTATTTTTGAGAAGCGGTGTGGAAAAATAATTATTCAAGAAAATTAGAAGGCTGTTAAAAATCATAGTTACAATGCAAACATTTCTCATAGGGTATGTCAAGATTACATCTCTTTTCTCGAAAAAGGGATGTAAATTAGACACTTCGAAATTGCAAATGAAGCCGGGATTTAAATTTCCCGTGCTTCATTTGCATAATGGCAGCCGTGGTTTTTTTTTTGAAAAGGGGCTTTTCAAAAGACAAACAGCTGTTTAGACGGGATTGTTCAAAAATAAAACCCCTAGAGGAGCACAGGATATCTCAGAAAAGGGTTTTTCTTTCGAACGATCCCCGTCTAAACAGCCATTTTTCTTTCGAAAAGCCCCTTTTTGAAAAAAACCCGTGGCTGCCATTATCCAAATGAAGCGCAGGAAATTTAAATCCGGGCTTCATTTGCAATTTTGAAGTGTCTAATTTACATCCCTTTTTCGAGAAAGGGATGTAGTTTAGACACAGCCATAATGTATTTGCATATGTGACTTGTAACCCTTTTCAACTACCCGTGAGAAAGAACGCACTTAAAAGAAACGGTGATATTAAAGAAAAGCTGAATAGAATCTACTGTAGAGAAAGGTTGGAAAATTTCCAAATTTCCATAGATTAATATAATAAATATTTTTCTAGTGATATTATCTTAAATGTAAGTTTATATATTTAAATTAGATGTTTTATGCAGGATTATTCATGGTTTCACCTAATCTTATACACTGCTCTGGTCTTGCTGTGATTGCAATTTGCTGGTTCATTGAAAAAAGGGAGGGTCCCAGGATAACATAATTTTGTGGTGGTTATGATTAC